AAACAGTAGATCTTGAAGGAGTTTGGGATGGGGCAGGATTTCAGGTGAGCAGTGATATTTAGGTTTGTGTGTTAGGAAAATCTGTAGTTTATAGGAATGTTGAAGAAGGAGAGTATAGGGACAGAAGTTGTGGTAAAGAAGAGAAAGCCAAAATGAAGTAACTGATTCCAAGTTGGTGCTTGGGTGTGTGAAATGTCCTGGTGCTGAAACAGACTGGAGATGTCAGTGGGGGCTAAGGGGGTGAAGGGGGAGCAAGGAGGGCTACGACTTAGGACCGAACTTAGGACTGTGTTCAAGACCCATCTCTACTATCAGACCTTGACTTCTCTGAAGCTCCCTTAAAAGAACTGAGATGATATATGAATAGGACTTGGACAATGTGGCTTTTCTTTCTGCTTCTAATCCAGAGCTGCTTCTCATGGTTGGGGATTCCCTGACAAAGAAACAAGCCACGTCTCACCAACAATAGCTCCTGAACTTGCTTCACAAATTGAAATAGGCTCTGGGGAGGGTTGGGACGTCCAGGAGATGTGGGTAACTTAGAGTGAAGTGGAGAACGAGTGTTTGGGTTATTCTCTCCTCTGAAGACAGGATTGGAAATAGAGGAGGCAGAACCTGTGCCATCGCTGGAGGGGTCCCCAGATTCAGGAGAGAGCATTCCAAAGCCCAAAAAAGGAAGAGAGGGAACTTTGGCTAGTCACCAGGAACCACTAGCAGTCCATGCCCACCACAGATTGACTTCCCAGTTTGACATTGTTAGCCTACTAGAATGGTGTGAGTTGCTTATTGTTGTGAATTGCCTGGGGAGGTTCCCCCCTTCCATATAGCACCAATGTTAAATGCAGGCAGTTTTCTCTTCAGTCCCCTGGATTAGGGGAAAGAAGTTAAATGGGGGGAGGGGGCGGAGGAGGGAGGGGAAGCTTATTTATACTTGACTCTTTGGGGTATTGGTCTTATGGAGAAATCCAAGTAGATTCCCCAGCATAAATTAAAGGATCCCTCACAAAACCAGTGGTCACATTCATCAGGTGTGGTGAAAACCAACGACTGAATTTTGCTTACTTTGTGGCTTCCTACAGTCACATTTGGGGTATATGTGTTGGGGAAGCAGCGGTGAATATTTCTTATGTGTTTGCCAGCTCATGGATACTTCTATTTTTAAAAACACATATTTTCCTTTTCAGTCTCCTTCATAGAACTGTCCTTTTTCCTCTCCCCATTCCTGAAGTGTTGCTTCTCTATACCTTAGCCTCTCTCACCAGTACTTTGGCTTTGAGCTGTGACTCCTAGAGTCTCTCTAGCTAGATGCCAAGACTCCTGAGTTCCGGCTGCCACCAGCCTCCCCTGTCCTTTGAAGTTGTCACAGGCACCTTAAGTTGAACATGGACAAGAAAGGACTCATAAACAGTAAAGGCACTATGTCCCTCCTCCACCTGTTTAAAAATGCAACAGTAAATGCATTCATGAGCTGACAAACACATAAAAAAATATATTCAGCCCTTCCCACCCCCCAAAACATGGCTGCAGGAAGCCGCAAAGGTTTCATTTCCAAGTCTCAGTGACATGGCATCTCCTCCACAGATTTTCCTGGTTCTTGCCCTTCCAACCAGGTAGAACTGATTTCTCTCCTTCTGTGAGAGGGGGACCCTCCCTTACCCTGACATACAGAGCTATCCCAAGTCATACTTCTATTGGAAGACTTCTGGCAGTTGATTATATTTTTTTGTTTGTTTACGCCCACCTCAGTTTGAAAGATAAAACAGAACACCCAGTTAAATCTGATCAAAAGCAATGAAAGTGTTATTTCTTTTAAACTGAGGTAATGTTGGTTTATATAATTGTTTGTATTCTGAACAAACATATTTTAATTATGTTCCAGTTATTACTTGAGACAGACATACTTGCTAAAAAGACGAACTGTGGCCCTCCCTGGTGGCGCAACAGGTTAGAGCACAGCGTTGCAAGCTAGCTGTAGCCACTTCAGTGTGAGTTTGATCCGCTGCCCTGGAGGTGATCCACATGGTGGAGGTGACCCACATGTTGTGGCAGGCCTCTCCTGACCCGCCCACTGCTCCCCTCAACAGTGTACTTCATCAATTTGCCTATTCTGCTCCCCACTCTGTCTCTGGTGAATCCTCTCACCGCCCACTGCACGTCTGGCCTGTACCCCAGTTCTGTATGTAGAAATAAATAAATCTTAAAAAAAATTATCATCTGAAATTCAAATTAAATTGACTGTCCTGTATTTTTATTAGCTCAATCTGACATCCTTTCCCCTTCCCTCCAACTTCCAGTGGTAGTTATTGCTCAATCACTGTTAAGTGAGTGGTGATTTCTCTGGTTGCAGGGCTGAAAATGACTGGGAGAAGTTGAAACTGGAGACAAAGACAACAGTTGGGAGAATGAGCAATAAGTTATGCCAGAAATCATGAAGGCTTCAAGGGAATAGCAGAAAATAGAGAAACAGGGGTGGGCCTACAACCTCCAAGACTTGATGATAAGTGGATGAAATAAGTGGCCAAGCTCCAGAAGTCTAGGTGCTACCCACAGTTCTAGCTTGTGTCTCAGGAAGAAGTTGGTGGCACGTCCTCAGAAGCGAGCACAGAAAGCGTGGAAACTGGACGGCAGGGAAGCTCCTTGATTTGAGTAGAGAGTGGGTCTGAAGGAGAAAATAAATGTATCCAGGGCAGATGTGTTAAGTTTGGGGTTATGAAGCATATGCAGATAGAAGTGGTGGAAATACAGACTTAGAGCTTTGGAGAATGGTCTGGGCCAGAGTTAAAATGTGGATGACATGGGCGTGGTGGTGGTACCTGAGATCTTGGACAGAGCTGATGTTGCTCTGGGAGAGAGTAGAACGAGAAGAGAGGAAGGCTGGTAGCCGAGCCCCAGCTATGTTTAAGAAGCAGAGAGAGGAAAAGGAACACAAGGGTGGGGTCCCGGCAGTTACCTCTGCAGAACTGCAGGCAAAGAAGATCCGCAGCTTGTTTTCTTTTGGCGGGGTGGGGGGAAGTTTTATTATTGTTACTTTTTAAAAGAGGAATTTGGGTTGTTTTAAACTGCAACCTGAAGCCAATTCCTGTGGGAAGCTGTTTGTCTTGGAGAAGGGCTGTGAGATGTTAGGCACAAGTTCCCCAGAATGCAGCCTTGAGTTGGGGGTGCAGGCTCCTCCCTCCAGTACTGGCAATTTGTGGAGTGTTGAGCCAGCACCATAGCTCAGGTCCTGTCACTGAGAGCACTGTCAGGGGTGACTTCCAGTCATCTCCTTTAAGTGTCCTGACAGCAGAGGGCTTTAGTGAGAGGCTGGACCTGGAGGATTTGAGGACTCAGCTAGGCTTCCAGGACTTTCCTGCAGGAGGCCTCTTGGCCCCAGTGACTGAACCTCTACCCTCAACCATGGCCAGGGTCTAGGCCTTCATGAAGTGTCTACAAACTGTATGACACTGGCACTGTTTTCTTTAGAGAAAGGGAGGAAGCGAAATTGGAGACTAAGGATCCTGAATGGGCTTAGAAAGAGGGGCCAAGGGGGTGCTTGAGGGTGGCACAAGAGCACCAAGGTTTTGGGAGCACCTACAATGCTTTGACCAAGAATGAGCACAGCTTTCCGAAAGCTCTTGTCAACTCTACCCTCGACCTGGGTCAAGGACCATCTTTGCCAAAGCAGGTAGACACATAGACAATCTGGAAGGAATTCTGGTCAGACGCTTAGGGATCCAATCCTCAACCTGCCTTGCTTTCGTGCACTCCTGGCTACAGCTCCCTCCCCGTGTTCACAACTGCCAAGTCCACCTCCGGCCACATCTCCCCTCTCAGCTCCAGATGGCGCCTCCTGACAGCCCCTCTGGATGTGCCACGGCGCCTCAGACAGCCTCCTTTCCAAATATACCATTTCCAAAGAAGAAAATCATACACACAAATCCATAGGGCCCAGGACACAAAGTTTCCCAGGACATACAGAAGGTTCAGAAGGATTGCACCGACTCTTTGGAGATGAGTCAGTCCTAACCTCTCCGCTCTGCCAGATGAACGTACCTCTTAGCTTCTTGTTGCTTTTTCATACTATTTGCCAACTTGAGTTTAAATATTTATGTAATGATTTATTTATTGCTTATCTCCTGGTTTAAGCTTAAGGACAGGGGTGTGTCCCTCTCACTCTGTCTCTGGTGTCTCCATAATATCTATTAAGCTTACTAAATAGATGCTTAATAAATGTGTATTGAATGAATACATGAGTATCTCTGTTCATCACCAAAGCTGCTAGTCCCTCTGGGGACCCTCAGTCCATTCCTGCCATCTTATCCCCATGAGGCTCTGTGCTTCATCCCTCCAGATCAGCCTCCCATGGCACCGTCTTCCCCATCCTCAGCCTTTGCAGATGTTCTCTTTCCCTGGATGGCTGCATGGAATGCGGGTAGTGAGGTCTGCACGCTGGACCTGTTCCAAGGACAGCCAGTATATGTACCTGTCAGGGGGTCTTGGAGGGTAGGTCCTGATTAGTGACAGTGGGATAGGACAGTGTGTGGCTCTCCATGCCTCTGCCCACTATACCAGGCCTCTGAGCTCACAGGTAGGTAGGCTTTCTTCACTGGTCCCCCTAGATCCCTAGACCCCAGTGCTGGTGACTGTGCAGGACTAGTGGATGTACTTGTGCACCCCATTCCGTCTGTGTTCCACACCCCCTGAGCTGCTGGATAGGGTCAAGCAGTTGGAGATCCAGACCAGACCCTGACTGCTGAGTCAGCCTGACCTCCTCAGTGACTGTTCAGGGCAAGCTCTCCATGCAGCTTCTACCCTTCTAGCTCCACTGCCCAGAAAAGAAGCTGACAAACCAGAGGTAAATAAATAACTTAGAAATAATAAATAGGGGGTCCAGCTTCCAGGAGGGCGTACAAGGTGCGCTTCGGCACAGGCACTTCGTCGACATAAACGCAATGTCTCCTCCAAATTCTGCTCCCCCCCACCCCCAACCCCCGCCCACCCCCCAGGGTCTGGGCGGCCGTTGAGACTTCAGACACTGCTGGGTTGTCTAGGAGGCCAGGGTCCGTGACTTGGCCAGTGCCAGAACCTGTGAGAAGTGGGTCCTATGGTCTCCACAGCTGAGGGCTCGAGTCTGCAGGGCTATGGCTCCAGGGTGCGGGCCGCGTGGCCGCTGGCTAGTCCTTCCCTCCTTCTCTCCAGGGCTGGTGTCCATCACTCACCGGCTGAGGCCTGGCTCTGGCTGAGGCCCCAGGCCCTTCCTGTCGGGGAGCACCGCGGGTAAGGGTCCAGCCTGCAAGGCCTTGGAGAGCACTCTCAACCCAGGCAACCGCAGGCAGTGGCGGAGAGGCGGTCCACAGTCCTCCAGGTGCTGTTGACGTCCATGAAGGAGACGGCCTCATAGCGCGTGGGGCGGCAGCAGGGCTGGCTGACCGGCCGGGCGCCGGGGGTCAGCGGCAGGACCCCGGCGTCCAGCAGGCGGGCCAGGCTGAGGTCGTGCGCGGTGCGCGCCCGGCGGCAGGAGCCGCTGCAGAAGCGGAAGCGCACCAGCTCCTCGGAGCGGTGGCCCAGGCCGAGCGCGCTCACCGGCACCAGCTGTGAGTGCAGGCTGCAGCTCCGCGTCCCCGCGGTCCTAG